TTAACGTTTTGAATTTTTCTCTTGAAAAAAACCTAGGCCCTGTATAAAACGCAGACGTTTAACATGTTTAAGTGAAATACAAGGAAATTATGTGTCTTTTGTGCCAAAATATATATAGTATTCAGAATAAGATGAACAGTCATGTATAAAAACATTTTTCTTGCGAAATAGCAGGAAACCGATCTGATCGCATGTAATATCATTCGAAAAAACCTGGTTTACCCTCTTATAGAATTGGACAGATTCACTCGAAAAGAAATACAATATCAGCTGGACACTATATACATAACGTGTGGGGTTAAATGATACAGGTAATATAATGATAATCTGTAAGTTCTGATGAAGAGGTTTAACCTAAATGACCGTAATACTATTATTGAAATGAGCACCGAGGACGTCCTGTATCCACGGGTAATACATATCAAATTAATGTTATAATGTAATTAGTAAATAACTTACCCATTGAGGCAAATCTCAAAGATTGGATCACATAGTTCGTTGCTAAAAAAGCTACATTTTGGCCAATCTGTGTCATACCTTACCAAACCAACAGTAAAAGATGATGGAGCTGCGTCCGTGCTTGGTACGGTCATCTTAATATCAATTTTTAAAGCATTACATTACTATTCATTAAACATGTAGTTACATACAAAAAAGAGTTATAATAAAAGCTCTTATGATTTAAATTTTGCAGATACTCTGTCCTAAACGATGATAGCAACTACTAGTATTTAGTTATTAAAGTAACAAACGTATATCCAAGAGTTATAAATGATATCATTACGATATGACTTTACACTATAAAGTTATCACAAAACGGATCTGTTATGGAAATAAGAACCTTTTTTACTATCATCGACAAATCCTTGTTATTACGATAACAACTTTGATATCTGAATAAAGACGTCACAAACTCAAACGATGACCTTTGTCACAAAAATAAACTCGTTTCGAGAAGAAACTGTATTTCCTTTATGTTATTGATATAAGTTTCAATGCTATATCACTGCCTAACTGTATCGATATTTGTCGTATTAAGTTTCGCCGCGATATAATCTTTTTGTTCTGATGTGGCGTAAAGTAATCACCAATTAATCAATCAATCGTATAAAGTTAGGAAACAACTTGTAAAACGGCGTAACTGTACATTGTTTTGTGTATTAATTTTTGAACTTTCTATCGCTATTGTTTACAAATTAAAATTACTTAATTTAAAAAAAAAATAATAATAATACACAGCAGGTGATTTCAGAAATTGTAATTCGCACTTTAGAATATAAGAAAAATAGAGAAAAAGTTTATCTTACCGAATGTAACACAATAATGTATAGAATGATATTATCATAACACGCCATGTTGAATGGAGTGTCACATATATATGTTATGATATCAAGATATCAATTTTAAATATAAAACGTTATCTTGAATAATCGTTGACTTATGCACTTGTTGTGTTGATTAATTTTACCATAAGTATAATTTAACCTGTTATGTTTACATGATACATTATCACTATAGTTTAATTGGTTTATAATTAATACTGACAGGAACTAATAATAATCAGATTAGCGGATGTGTCTGACAATAGTTTATTATCTCTAATCATAGTTCACAGCTACAGTTTTCTGTTAGATTTTATGGGCGTAACTTTCCCATGGCATTATATTACTCTTTGTTTCATATATACTGATGTATTGCAAATTGTAATCATTGTGAGTGTAAATTGTACTTTAATAAACATATATACTCTAATGAAATAGTCATCACTGCAACCCACGATGGATATATAACATAACCTAAACTCTTTACATTATAAAACGTGGTTTTTCGTCTGCTAGAGTCCATGTTGTATTATGAAATAGGTTATTAAACTATTTTTCTGGTATGGTACGGTTTAACTTTTTCAAAGTCGTCTGAAAGTAGATCTTTTTTTTTAAATTTTGAGCAAGTGAACAACCACGGTAACACGATGTTCTGCAATAAAAAATGAACCTTTAGAGATTTTTTCGGAAAATATTTGGGGTGAGAGGTTGATCTGTATTGAAAGTATTTTACTGACTAAAGGAATAAGAACAATAACAAAAGCACAGCTTAGTTCAGGTTTTGTTGAAGCTCGTAGATAATTTGTACTATAAATTAATACATAATATTCCTTCTTTTGAGTGTCAAATTTATTTTCAAAGACCACCGAATTGTGTTGTGTGTTTGATTGTTGGTTTTTTCAGCACTCTTGGCTACATCATGGAGGATAGGGTTTTTTTGTGGAGGTAGCCACAGTACCCAGAAATAACAACCCACATTCGGCTTGAAAACTGGCAATCTTTATTCACTTCACAGGCATGATGCCAACATTTTCTATGAAAAACGTGTGGAAACATAAAGCGAGTGAAATTTAAGTTAATTTTGCAAAGAAAATAATTTTACAAAACAAAAATGAAAAAATCAATAAAACTTTATTTTGACCATAAAAGATGCATTTAAATTTAGTTAATATATCAACCAATACGTAAAAGAATAACAGCAATTACCAAAAATATTAGACAGTACAACATACCACAACCACCAACATGACATTTTATGTAGTCGTTTGAAACGGAATCGGAAGCATCATTACTTTAAAAAGGTACAAACGTTCAAACAAACCATGTTGAATTGTACGTCGAGGTTTTGTTTACTTGTTTGTTATAGAGTATCAATGGTCAATGGTTATCTCATCTTTACAAGAAAGTAGGGTTATCGTTTTCAAGATAAAATATTCATTTATAAAGTAGAAAGTCTACAATCATGAATGTTATTACTCATGACTGTTTGACACATAGAAAAGCTATCAATTAACAATCTTGAGAATGTTACCATCAATATAAGTATTATCAATATATATATATATATATATAATTACTCTAAATATCAGCACAACAATGTTAAACTGCAAATTTGCGGCAGCAAATTTTTGTTTTTTCCTCACCGGGATTCGAACTCATGCTATTGGGATATCGAGACAATACCGCCTGCACCGTGTTCAACGCTATAGACCACACGGTCACCTAGACTGAACTAATAATTCAGCTTTCGGTGGCCTAGGGTTACCTTTCCTCGTCAGTAGAATCTAGAGTTGTAACATATATACATATAGAAGTCTATAAAAAGGACCAACCAGCAAATTTAGTATGTACCGGATCGTCTAGAATAGACGATACTGCGCATATAAGGAAACAAATTATATAAGTCTGAAGATTTGCACAACGGTACTAATACAAGATGGTAATATACGAAGATGATGTTATAAAATCGTGTTGACAAATATTTCGGCTTAACAAATAGTCTTCGTCAGTGTCAATAATTTTAATAATGTTCAGCCGTGTATCACCTTCACTGGTGATCCAATGCATGGATCTGTCGTAGAGTTGTCACTTGTTTAGAAGCACTTATCAAAATCATCATTTCTGTGACTGTATCTTACCATCCTTAACGATAGATATTTAGCTAATCTGCAATCAATTCCATCTTCATGCCCAGTATATCATGTACTGTGTTACAACTCTAGATTCTACTGACGAAGAAAGGTAACACTAGGCCACCGAAAGCTGAACTATATGTTCAGTCTAGGTGGCCGAGTGGTCTAGAGCGCTGGACACAGTGCAGGCGGTGTTGTCTCGATATCCAAATAGCATGAGTTCGAATCGCGGCGAGGGAAGAACAAAAATTTGCCTCCGCAAATTTGCTGATTTAACATTGTTGTGCTGATATTTAGAGTAATTTATATATATATATATATATATATATATATATATATATATATATATGAAACCGTGTCTTTCATAGTTGTTAAAGGGCAAGACATCTTTTGCATTTTGATACAACAGCTGAAAACAATTATAAACATGATCAAAGGCTTTGCCCAAATTTATTATGCTGAAAGATGTATTACAGAAATGTTGATTTGGATAATCAAGCCCTTTCTTGCTTTGCATTTAGACAACTACGGAAGCTAAAGAGCTGTAAAAAGGATAAATTTACTTGCAGAGAGCGTGACACTTTCCTGACGCGAGGTGAATATTAACCGTCCTGATACATCGGAGAACCCTCGGGGGATATGTTTTAAAACAACTAGCTGTCTCTCAACATCCTCACTGTGCCCCTTTTTGCTCGACCTCTCTGAATTTCCCAAAGTAGTACTAGTAATCAACGTAAGACTACATATGAGGCACCGACCATTCATCTTTTGTGGTGGGGCATTGTTTTTTATATTTATTCAATAAACTGTTCGATTTTTTTAAGTTTTGAAGAAAAAAAAAGGTTTCAGGAGGAAAGTGTAAAAAATGTTTCAGAAGGAAAGTGGAAAAAAATTGTTTGTTTCAATTGAAAATTAGAAGGAACATAAATATACTATTGCGTTTCACATGTTTCAAAACAAACCCTTGTTCCTGTACCTCTATGGATAAAAATAGTTTGTTTTTGATTAAATTTGGGGACAATAAAAATGATTGTACCGAGAGAAAAACCAATTCCTCCCACAGAAGATCAATGGTCATTGCCTGAGTCTTAATTCTTTGTTAAAGTCAACACTTTTTTATGACGAATCGACGTAACTTTATTCTTATTTTGTATGCATATGTTAATCGTCCGCAAAAGTAGAATGCATTTATAATAGGACATCAAACAGACAAGAGTTGTGTATAAGGAGGGAGAAACACTTACAATAATTACCTTCCGTAACGTTTTTTAAGTGCATTATTATTGTAACTTAAGAGTTCACTTTTAAACTTGTAATAGATATTCCATTGATTTTTTTTATAAAAACTGTGTATAGAAATTTATACCATTGACATACAATAAATTCCGTTCACTTTGAAATAATCAAATATAGGTGTAGTCATTAATTTCGATTATTTTCCGAAAATGCCTTTTTTTTTGTAAACATGTCTAAATTTAGCTATATGTTTAGCTGGAATGCCCATAATTCTACATCGTCAGTTGGGTGATAACATCTGCCATGCGCACTGCCAATCAACTTCCTTATAACTGTTTCATACCAGGTAAGACACTCTAATATTTTCAATGCAAATATTAAATTGTATTCGTCACATTATTTTGTCCGTTGAATAACATAAATCCGTAAAGTTTTATTTCTTTAAAACTAAGTTTCATAATTTTCGAGTAGTTTTTAAATTTATCATTATTCCGCACATTGTGCAGACGCTGTTGAGTATCTGCTGAAACAGTGACTTCCTAATCCTAATACTCGTGACTTCGTCGTGATATTTCCTGTTTCTATTATTCTTCCGATAATTTATTTATTTTACCTTTTTTTCTTTGATCCTACATCTATCAGTTTGCATTCCAGAAAAAAAAACTAAAAAAAGATATAAGCATGAACATGTTGAAAATGAAAAGAGAATGTGAAGTCATACGTTCGTCATAGGATTAAGTGAGCAAGATGATCATATATAATCATTTTTTTCAAAACTTCCTCAATGGTATCGTGCTCGGGGTCGTGGGTTCGAGTCCCGGTCAATTTAAACCAAAGACCTGAAAATTGGTATTTGCTGCTTTTCCGCTAAGCACGCGGTATTAAAGTAAAGAGAAAGAGCAAAGACTGGTCGGTTTGGGTAAAAAAATCATCCGGATAGGGCAACTAGCACGACAGTAAAAATCGCGCTCAGCGTGTCGGTCTAGTACAAAGCAGGTGTTCATATTTGCATATTCTTATTTCGTATTAATTCGTTCTTGTCCTGGATATGAATTTTATTTGCCACTGGACGTTAAACAGCCATCCATCATCATCCATCATCAAAAGTTTTATTTGGCCTCATTTGTGTTATGTTGAAATCATTTAGTGTCCTTTCCTTACCACTCGTCATAGCACCCAAAAACTATCTGTGATTTTTCGAAATAGTATTAGTACACAAGTCCATTTTCCCACAGACATCAATGCGCAATTAGTGTAATTTGTACCTTATTCCTATATTAGGTCTTTATCTATAAAATTAAAATAACAGAATAGTTTTTTAATAATGATTTAATCTTTCAATAATTAGGGACGAAAAGAAGTTTCAAACTGAAAACGATAGACGAAAGTAGAATAAAAATGTTTTAAAGATATACAGGGATGAAACAAGATTTTTATTTTTGCTGTAAAATTATCAAATAAGTGTGTCAAATCTTTAAATCATGTCATGAACATTCAACTTTTTCTTTTATTTTCAGTTTATGTTAAATTTTCAGAAAAATTACAGGTAAACTAACCACAAGCAGTATTAATATCAGATTATAAAGAATTTACCTTTGCATAATTATCGATAAATGAAGGTACATAATTATATACAAAATAGTTAATTATTCTGTTTCCACAACATTTTAAAAGTCAAGGTATGTAATTTAGACCTTTAAAATGTATCATTTGTGAATTGCAAACGGCTTAAGTGTGTAAATATTATGCATACCACAATCGTTTGTAGACATGGCAAAGGAGCTGCGTATTTTATAACAAAAATATAAATAGTGAAAAAGAAAACTTGGGTCTTTTAAAAGTGGTATGAGGGTCTGGATGGGATTTACAGAATAAAGAATAGTGACCCAATTAAAATTATATAAGGAATAGAGAAAATTAAGCCAAAAACTTAAAGAATAGAGAATAATGGGGTGCAAACGTATAAACAATAACAGAGGAAAATAAAAGAATTAGGTAATATAATACTGATTACAGAAATGAACGATATGTAGACTAAAGAAATCATATAATTGCTGAAAAAATCTACAGTAAAATCAATTTCAGGTGAATTTTACAGAATTAGCGTTATTTTTAAAGAAGAAGAAAATTGCCATAAAAATTTAAAGAATTCTGAAATTAGTGATACCCCATCTAGACCTTCAGATATTGGCTGAAAAAGAGAAAATGTTCTTCCACATCCGGTCAGAATGGGGACGCTTAATCCGATGCCTCGTGTTAAATCGACTCTACAAGACAAAATTAATACACCACATCATTTAACAATTGTTGTTACAAAATTTAAATAAATCATTGGAAATCATTGACAATATATTATCTCACTTATTTCAAGTGCTTCATGTTTCCGTCTGTTAATTGAGTATCAAGGTCACACTCGGTAAACTTCGGCACAAAAAAACCAAATGCTATTTATTGTCGAAATGCACATCTGGCACAGCAAAAATGGTTCCATTATTGTTATTAAGTGTCAGCCAACGTATTTGCTCAACAATCATCCAATGAAATATTTTTTTGTCGATTCGTAAAAGGTATTTTAAAAAAAAAGTACACATGGGACTTAAGTAAGTTTTCAAGAATTGAATGCTATTTTTTGTTATTTTATTGATTTGTTTCCCTTGCCGTTATCGTGACGTTGTCATGGGAAGCACGTGCAGTCATGAATGTTGCATATTATAAGAAATCAATTTATTTTGAAACGCGACTATTGTCATCCAATCAAATGGTACGTATTCTTATGAAACATACATGTAATGTAATTATAATTATATGCATGCATTGGTTCAACAATTTTCTTAACATTATAATCATCAGAAACTCGTTTCATATTACTGTAAGCTCTTTTCTGAACTGAAACACATTTTTATTTTTAGATTTTCAGGTAACATGTGATAAACGATGGCTATTCATGTAGCTGCCATAGATTTTGGGACAACGTATTCAGGATATTCATTTTCAGTTAGTGCACCAGAAACTGAGCTGAAGGATGTAGAAATCTTATCTAATCAGATTTGGAATTCTGGGACGGCGGAAGTTGCATCCCTAAAGACCCCCACGTGTCTGCTGCTCTCTAAAGACCGAAAAGTATCAGTTTTTGGGTATGAAGCAGAAGAACAGTATGCAGACATTGTATTGGATGGAGATACAGAAGATTACTACTTCTTTCATAGATTTAAGATGAAGCTTCATAATAACAAGGTAAATAAAAGTGTTATGAAAATACAGGATATATTCCATGTTTATGATTTCTTTTGCAATCCTTGACCTGGGACTATAATACTTAGAACAAAAGTCCCAGCCTTGACAAAGATTGTTTTTATGTTGAAATACTTGGCCTCCTTTTCTGATATTTTAGCTGTTTCTATATTCGCTAGTTTTATCAATAATATTACAGTTAAAGCTGGGTACCGAATACCACCTCAAGATATACCTACTGCCCATTTCGACTGTATGAAATCTACAATGAATAGATATTCCCTCAGGCAAAATTGACCATAGGAGAATTTGACTATTCTTTTTAGGTTCCTTTTGATTTTATAGCTCCTAACGTTGCTAATTATTTTCATCCTTGGGCTTAAATGTTAATGTTGGAGCGTTCCTTATGAAGCTTAATCTAGAAAAATGCTTCTGATACGTGACAGGCGAAATAGCTCTTTAATGACCATTTTTATTTATCTATTTTGAAATCACAGTTGAAACCAATCGTTTTATTCTTTTCCGTCTATTATATTGAAACTAAAATGGATATGACATGTACGAGTATAAAAAATTGATCAGCGACAAAAATTTGGCCAAAACTAGTTTCAATTCTGCAAAAATATTATTGTACCATTGTTTTATGCAAAAGTACCAGGTGAGCGAAAGAGGCTACGTCGTGCGCCGAAAGTTCCCAAATTACTACAAACCATTCTTCAAAAATAAATTTCTATACTTAGAAAAATGGAAAAGTTTTGACCATTTGATGATATCTTTATCCCTATTTCAATTTGTTTTCAATACAAATATTCGGAAGTTATTCACAAAAGTTGCTTTATGACATTTCAGATACTTTTTTCTCCTTTTTCTGCTGTTTACATTGACAAATTAATGACTCTATTTCAATATAATAGTCATTTTGCAGAATATTACTATGACTATGGTTCTGAAAGATGTGAGAGGGCAACCACTACCTGCTATAGATGTATTTTCGTTGTCAATTAAAACCTTAAAAGACCACCTTAACAGTACTGGTGAAATAAAGAACATAGTACTTGACGATGAAAAAACTAAGTGGGTACTTACTGTTCCTGCCATTTGGACGGACACAGCCAAGCAGTTTATGAGAAAAAGTGCTGAAAAGGTAAAACATTCATAGTTTATTCCTAAATATGAAATATAATATTAGGAGTTGTGGTATGATTGCCAATGAGACAACCATCCACCAGAGTTCAAATGAAGTAAAGGTAACATGATGGTACCCAAATTGTACCTACTTTGACAGTTTTTCACCTACGTTTATCTATGATTCACACAAGTTTCTGTGTTTATTTTGTAGATGTATCCTTATATTCTATATAGTTCTTTCTATTTAATATTGAATCCATATTAAATCATAGAACAATAGGTTTGAACCCACCTCCAAACAATCCATGATTCTGTAATGCGGAGTACCAAAATTGCATCCATGCATACATTTATATTTGTAAAAATCAAATAACTGATGTTTTGTTTTATTTCTCCAAATATTTAGAACAATTTGACATTCGTCCATACTTGCTATTCATTTTTTAAGAAATGTATGCCGGTAACATATTATAATTGCTCATTTTCAAAAGTTGACTTCTAGCGGACGTCGCATAGCGACGTTTCTGTAGATTTTACTTTTTCCAGTGGAATGTTCATCTGTTGACATATTCTGTGAACGTTTTGTGTATACCTGAATATGTTTAGCTATCTTGAAAGACGTGCATAATGTCAAATCATAAAAACACAAATTGTTTTGTCTCTAAGAAAACATTGGATGTTGGATGTGTACAGATTGATAATTTAGTCTTAGATGCATGATTTTTTTTTATTAGTTGTTAGTGGCTTTGAACTAGCTGTCAGTTATTGCGATTACTCTCAGATCTGTACTTAGTGTCTTTTTGTTGTTTGGATGTACAAGTACCCGGCCACGTCCACTTGTATTTGTAGTATTTGTATTTTTATCCATCTGATGAGTTAAGCCTCTTTCAACTGATTTTTATAGTTCGTTCTTATGTTGTACTGTTACACCACTGTCTCAGGTTAGGAGGAGGGTTGGGATCCCGCTAACATGTTTAACCCCGCCACATTCTGTATGTATGTGCCTGTCCCAAGTTAGGAGCCTGTAATTCAGTGGTTGTCGTTTATTTATGTGTTACATATTTGTTTTTCGTTCATTTTCTATACATAAATTAGGTCGTTAGTTTTCTCGTTTGAATTGTTTTACATTGTCATTTCGGGGCCTTTTATAGCTGACTGTGCGGTATGGGCTTTGCTCATTGTTGAAGGCCGTACGGTGACCTATAGTTGTTAATTTCTGTGTCATTTGGTCTCTTGTGGAGAGTTGTCTCATTGGCAATCATACCACGCCTTATTTTTTATATAATTGATTTCCGCTGATGTATTTGCTAAATGCGAGGCAATTAAAGACAACCGTTCGGCTTTCAACAACGAGAAAAACACATTCCGTATAGTCGGCTATAAAAAGTCTGACATCAAAAATGGAAAATAATTCAAACGAGAAAACTAACAGTCTTATTTATAACAAAACAAATTTAGGAAAAACATATATGACAGACATGAACCAACGACAGCCACTGAACTGCATGATCCTGACATTGGACAGGCACATAAAGAATGTGGCGTTGTATATCAATCAAAATTGTATTGATGTTATTTCAGCTTTTTATCGATATATATGTTAGCGGCAATAAGTGAAATTGGGCATTTAGCTTAAATACTAGGCAATAAGCTAATGCCTAGGCAGTAAGTTTATTGTCTAAATAATGTTAGGCATTACTCTTAAATCCTAAAAATTATGTCCAGGAATTAATGTTAATGCCTAAAATAAAAATGAGAGTAAATAAAAAGAAATTTTTTCAAAGTTAAAATACATTTTGTACATAATAAAATAATAAGAACTTAAGTTTGAATGTCAATTACATGAAATAAAATCATAAGTAAAATATTGGTGTTATAACTCATTGAATAAACCTCTTAAAATATATGTAAACTTGTTGTATAGTTATCTCATTAGCAATCATACTGCATCTCCTTATTCTTATATTGATTAAAAATTGTATTGGAATTTATTTGTTACCAATTGCTGCAGAGATATGGCACAGACTATTACACAGTTTTAATTCATTCAAGCATTTGTACCTGGTGATCGTCTAAATATAAACAAAAATTAAGTGATCTTGGTACATCATAAGAAAATATAGTTTCTATCTTCCTTAAACATACTTTGATTGGAAATCGATTAAATCAACCTGTCCTGTTTCACAAAATGGAAGAAATAGTACAATGGAATCATGGAAAATGTTTGCAAACCCATCATTAGGTTGTTTAATTCTACGGTCTTTAATAATAATCGGCCGCTTTGACATATTTCTTCATATGTTTTCCCCAAAATACCATACAATTCTTCTAGAAAAACATAAACTTTGAAATTTTCCTCATCATTTTCCTTACTTTAGTTACCAGTCTTTCCAACATCCAATGGTAAAAAAATTGTCATACCATTTTCAATTGTAATAGTCTATAGTTGCCTTATTTTCTAATTTTGAAAGTTTAATCTTGCCAAATGATCATTGTAGTTTCGCCTTAGGTATATGATCTTTATTTTCCCTGATTCAAATAATCCAGATTAAAAAGTGAAAAGACAAGATAGGTATTTAAGACATTAGTACTGTAGTGAAAAACTTGTTTTGGATGTTCCTTCCTTATTGAATATTTTTACCTGATTTGTAAGTAGGAAACCATAAAAATGAGATTAATTGAAATGCTCTATTGTCAGGCGACTCTCCAAATTTAATTGACAATAGCCAGCGTTTAGTCAGTGTAATTACTTTTCCTAGGCTGGAATACCAAGAGATAAGCTAACAATTGCACATGAACCAGAAGCAGCATCGATATATTGTCAAACCTTCCCGTCTGCTGGTTGCAGAGAAATTGCGGAAATTGGATCAAGATATATGGTCGCAGATCTTGGGGGTATTTTGTTAGTTATTCCGATGCTAGTGATTAGCCCTTTACCGGGTTCAATTGACGAGATACATACTCCGAAACAGCGGTGACGTTGCTACGTAGCAAAGACGATGTTTCCACTGTTTTGGAGTTTGGACGAGACCTAGCCTACACGTCTAAATAACAGAAAACAAAACATATAACGACAAAAAAGTACAATTAAGATTAAAAAAAAACTTTTTAAACATGACAGATGTTGTCAGAATTAGATATTACATGCTAAGAACCACCGCTGCAATATCTAGCAAAATCATTCTGATCTTTTAGTATATCAATGTATTTGGTGCAAAAATTAATAAAAGCTTTGGTAAAACAATCAATTATTTGAAACATCTGTCCAAACGAAATTTAATTAGGAATCGTTCAACGATTAATGATTTTCTCTTGTAACTTACAGATGTTTAAATTTAATTTTTTACTAAATATTGCTGAAATTGACGAATTGTATCTATTGATCCCATTAAAATTTACAGCATGCTGTTTTCTGATTATATTCTAGGTGGTACAATAGATGTAACGGTACATGAAAAAATTCCGAACGGCACTTTGAAAGAAGTGACAAAAGCCTGCGGGAATGGTTGTGGCATAACCTCAGTTGATGATGCATTTATCCAGCTGTTCGTTCGCATATTTGGCGGACCACTTCTAAACAGTATGAAATCAGACAGTCCAGAATCTTACTTATATCTGATGATAAGTATAGAACAAGTTAAAAGAACATTTCAACCCACCCAAACTAGAAAAGTGAATTTAACCATTCCATATGCAACTCTCGACGATCTCTGTCAGTCAAATTTAGGGGAAAATATTAAAAATGTCGTCAGTTCATCCTCCCTGGCATGTAACATTGAAATATGTAAAGACAAAATAGGAATTGAACCATTATTCGCTAAATCGCTTTTCAAGACAACATGTGATAATATTAAGGCTTTAATACAGTCTGTTCTACAACAGGCGACAGCATCAAGCGTTTCAAGCATTCTGCTTGTTGGTGGTTTCGCTGAATGCAAGATGGTACAAAATGCCCTGAAAACTGTTTTTCCAAGCATGAACATTATATTGCAAGAGGATCGTTATCGTTCTGAAAGGTGCAGTTTTATTTGGTTATAAATCCGATATCATATCATCGCGAATAGCACGATATACATATGGTCTAGGTTTCCGGTTGCCGTTTGATGAAAGTATTCATGATCAGAAAAGAAAATCGATTTCGGGAGGAATAGCATATTGCAGATCCTTATTTGATCCATTCATGGGGATCAACACACCAATTCCATTAGGACATAAAATTGAAAAATTATATTCAACGAACGAAAAGACCGGCTGCATGTGTCGAGTGTATATAACGGATAGGGACAATGCTATGTATACCGATACGGGAGAATGTACTTTACTTGGGGAGTTCAAATTTTCCATTGCAAACCCTAGGCGCGATGAAAGAGAATTGAAAGTTGTATTTAACTTTGGAGACACAGAATTTTCAATGACTGTAGTAGATCTTGAATCAAAATCTGAAAAGAAGGAATTTTACGAAATTCAACGTTAGACTGATCTTAGTTACTACTTTGCTCCTTTAACACTATCAATTCATGAACTTCAATAATCTATTTCTGTAACCATGTTTCATAAGGCATCAGCTTTATGATTAGTATCTATAATCAAATAATTGTACAGTCTTATGATGATGAATGTGATGATCGAATCTCAAAGTTCAGTGACAAATATTAAGGAAAATACTAGGATGTATACTATTGTTCATATGTACCACCATGAGTATTTAGTATGACGGTTAATTTTCACTTCTGTACTCGTACTGTGAACAACAAAGTCATTAATTTTGTAAAAAATGATTTCCATACGCCTAATAACAAAACTATTACTAGTATATTTAAGTTGATATGTGCACAGTGTTTTATTTAACGCTATTTTGTCCCAGGTTAGAGTTGTCTTTTTGACACTGTTCCTACATCTTTGTTTATTAATATTGTATTAATATTGTGTCATAGATCAAACTTATTCGTTCAGTGTATGTTTACCTGTTTTTGTTCAAATGTCTATTTAATCGAGTTAAGCCATTTCAATTGATATTTTTATAGTGTGACGTTTTATGTTACTGTCTCAGGTTAGAGTGAAGGTTGTTGCCTGTTAAAAACGTTTAAACCCGCTGAATTTTTATGCTCCTGTCCTAACTCAGGAGCCTGTTGTATAGTGGTTATTGTTTGTTGGTGTGGTTCATAAGTATTTCTCGTTTCTCGTTTTTTTTTTTATATAGATTAGACCGTTAGTTTTCCTGTTTGAATTGTTTTACACTAGTCATGTTAGGACCCTTTATAGCTTGCTTTTCGATGTGAGCGAAGGCTCCGTGTTGGAGGCCGTACTTTGACCTATAATTGTTAACTTTTTATACATTGTGACTTGGATGGAGAGTTGTCTCATTGGCACTCATACCACATCTATATAAAAAGGGATAACACAAATCGCCAAAAATACCACACAGCACAACAAACCACATAAACCACCAACACCCGACTCTCCTACAAAATGGCAGACATATATAATGAAAAGTGATGAATACTTTTAGTCTGGTAGAATATGATTTATTTATGAGCTGTAATTGGTTTTCAACTAGCTTTTAGTAACTGCGAGTACTATATGTCCTATGTCTTTTTGTCATTTCTGTTAATGATTCGAGCCAATCTGATAAGTCAAACCATTTCGAACTCATATTTACAGTTTGATTTTATGTTGTGCTGTTGCACCATTTTCCCAAGTATGGAGCCGGTAATTCAGTGGTAGTCGGTGGCTGTTGCCTGCTATGCGTGTAGATCGGTTATTGTTTCAGGCTGTTGATTTTTTAATTAGATCATCAGAAGAAAGAACTATTCTTGATAACTTAATGAATCTATCACGCGTGTAGCCCTTGCTAAAAATTGTCTTATTTTGTCAAAATTCATTGACCTTCCCCTTTTTGAATTAACCTTGGAGTTTAGAATTTTTATACTTTTTTTCTCGTACCGATCTTTTGAGTTAAGCCAATTGCAATTGATTTTTTCAGTTTGTTCTTATTTTGTGCTGTAACACCACTGTCCCAGGTTAGGGGAGGGTTGGGATCTCAAAAACATGTTTAACCACGCCACACGCTTTGTTAGCCTGTCCAAAGTCATAAGCCTGTAGGTTAGTGGTTGTCGTTGGCTCATGTCTGTCATATGTGTTTTACATAATTTGATTTCCTCTTATAGTTGATGTGTTTCCCTCGGTTTTAGTTTGTAGCCCGGACTTGTTTTCTCTCAATCGATTTATGACTTTGGAACAGCGGTATACTACTGTCGCCTTTTTTTAAACATTTCGCTGTAAAATAAACCATGATTGTTTACCTTAAAACGATAGTGATAGATTGTTCTGTAATTATGCTTGGTCAAAATTTTACTGTAGGCCTAGCAAAACTAAACAAAAAGTACTTCTACGTCATTTGGTCTCTGGTTTGGAGTTGTCTCGGTGGCAACCATACCACATCTTCTTATTCGTGTAAAGGAACTGGAACCTATTTTCAACTTCCCGAATCCTTACAAGTGAGCAGGAGTTCGTCCATACAACCAAGATGTACAACTTTTTTTTAAATTCTTTTCGTATCGTATGACATCTACAATTATAGTCTCCTAAATTTACTTTAGAATACTTTACTTTTAAGAATAGAATTAATGTCCAACAAAAATATTGAAAAGAAAAAAATGAGCAAAAAATTATGGAATAGCGAATAATGGGGTGCAAAAGTTTAATGAATAACTGTGGAAAATAACAAAAACACGTAATGAAATACTTATTACAGAAATTACAGGAATGAACGATGTACAGAATAAAACAATCATATGATTACAGAAAAAATAATAGCAAATCAATTTTATTAGAATTTTACAGAATATGCGTTATTTTTGAAAAAATAGAAAAATGCCCTAAAAATTTAAAGAATACAGAAATTAAGACCATCCAGACCCTCATGCACACGCTGACAGATCGAGTTTTATTTTTAATTAATCTATAATATGGCTTGTTTCTGAACATATGACCAAACTATGAATGTCAATAACACTAGCGATACCAACTTAACTGCACTATATGCGCATGTCGACAATTAATGTCTCCGGTGATGCTCGAAGTCAAAAATATTTGAAATCCAAAACCTATATGTTGAAGAGGTGGTGAAATCAAACAGGACCAAACAACGTGTAATTTTGATATATTTCGTCAAATTTGGCATACTTTAGACTAAATTCATAAAAGATACAATCTTTATCAAAAGCATAAATCTACATTTAATTTAGTTCAAGCACAAGCACAAGATATGTATTTCACTCATTCAGTGAAGCAATAAGGAAAGGGGGTTTGCCCATTCTGAGTCTCTGTTTTAATTGAAATGAAAAATAGCTTTCCATCTAATACAACTTTGCTTTTAATTTTGATTGACAATTTATCTTCTTCCCTTTTTATTAATCAATAGGGTAATCTATTGATTCGTTACTGAAATTATAGATGAATAAATTGAATCTTTTAAGGGGCAGGTACTACACAATTTGCCAAAATCAATCAATATTGTACATTTGTGCCATTTGTTTATGAACTTTTTAAATCATTTTGATATTGACAAAAACTTAACATAAACAAATAACCACTAATATAGTCAATTCGGCAAACTTTTGCAGATGCCGCTCGAATTTCGGCGACTGATGCCTCGGAACACCAAATACAGAACAATTACCGTGAGTAAATAATCCAGCAATGTTGATTTTCATACAAACTATTTGTACATTTAGCTTACCTATGTAGATCTTATCAAAAGTAATTGCTTGTTTCTGTATTTGGTATTCCGCCGTTTTAGAATCTAATGCATTCTGGGTAATATTTTCAAAAGTGTACACCAAAACATCCAAATTGATTAAAAACGTCCTTAACAATGGAAAGTTAACGTTATTTTCAATTTGGGGTACGAACAATAAAATTAGCCATAGTCCTTTAGATTCCGAAACGGCCAATTAAAAAACAATAAAAATGACAAGACTTCCCTTTGAACCCCCTTTCACATATGTATATTCTTATTCGGTCAAAAATAGTTGTTCAAAAGGAAGAATTTCAGTTGGACGCTCATAGTATTTCTTAACACAGTTTTAAATGTCCCTTATTGGTTGACTTAATTGTTGTGTCTCATTGACGGTAATCTATCATGCATTCAATCGTAGCAAATTAAGTTGTGTTTAATATTACCCAAATCAGATACCTTATATAATTATGTAGACATGTGTCACTGTGGCCCAGCTAAAGGTCATTGCTCAGCGCGTTAGATTGTACTCTCATCAGTGACCATGGAAAGTTTATGACAATTTTTCTATTTTTATGCTCCCGCCGTAGCGGAGGGGGCATTAAGTTTTACCCTTGTCCGTCTGTTCGTCCGTACGTACGTCCCAAAGTTGGGTTCCGTTCTCTAATTTTAGTTTGCCTCCACCAAATGTTATGAAACTTATACACAATGCTTATTACCACAAAACACAGATCAAGTTTGAATTTTGGTGGCGTCACTTTAGCCGTTCTAGAGTTATGCCCCTTTACAAATGGAAAAATTGCTGAATTTTTCGTTTCCGTTCTCTTACTTTAGTTTGCCTCAACCAAATGCTACGAAACTTATACACAATGCTTATTACCACAAAACACAGATCAAACTTGAATTTTGGTGGCGTCACTTTAACCGTTCTAGAGTTAGGCCCTTTTACAAATGGAAAAATTGCTGAATTTTTCGTTTCCGTTCTCTAACTTAAGTTATTCTTAACAAAATGTTTTGAAACTTATACACAATGCTTACTACCCCAAAATAAAGATCGAGTTTGAATTTTGGTGGCGTCACTTTAACCGTTCTAGAGATATGCCCTTTTACAAATGGAAAAATTGTTGAATTTTTCCTTCCGTTCTCTAACTTTAGTTTCCCTTAACCAAATGCCACGAAACTTATACACAATGCTTATTACCACGAAATACAGATCAAGTTTGAATTTTGGGGGTGTCACTTTTATTGTTCTAGAGCTATGTCCCTTTACAAATGGAAAAATTGCTGAATTTATCGTTTCCGTTCTCTAGCTTAAGTTTGCCTCAACCAAATTTTATGAAACTTATACACAATACTTATTACCAAAAAACTCAGATCAAGTACAAATTTGGGTAGTGTCACTTTTACCGTTCTTCAGTTATGTCCCTTTATAACTTTATATGATATTTTTTTTTATATCAACCGATAGATGACCTATCAAATTTGATTCATCGTAGCTCGATCACACACTAAAACCATCCGCTCTTGGATTCGGCGGAGTGAACACAGGTTGGAAACAGGGTGGACAAACCTTTTAGATTGTTCCCAAGTATTCTTGATAGAGGTGACATGTCATTCCTTTTCTTCCAAAAATAAAAAAAAACAACTATAAAATGAGTTTAACTTTTGTATTCGCTATTAACATTGAATTTGTATACATTGAGAGTCCAAATGTTAAAAACTATAATTAGATCGTTAGATTTCTCAATTGAATTGTTTCATATTTTTTATGTCGGGGCCTTTTATAGCCGACTATACGGTATGGGTTTTTCTCATTTTTGAAGGTCGTACGGTTGCCTATAATTGCTTACATCCTCTTCATTTGAACTTGGGTGGATAGTTGTCTCATTGGCAATCATACCTCATCTCCTTATTATTATACTAGTACACATGTATATCGCATTGCCAAGATATGTAAATATAAGAATTGAATGTTTTTTTTTATCAATTTATACAGAAATATGATCGTCACTCACTTCCATTTCGAAACCGCCTCGGTGTTCTCGTGGTAGCGTGTTCGCCTAGAGTGCGGGAGGTCGTGGGTTCGATCCCAG